AGATATTTTGCTAACAGGCTTGCAGATTTGACAGCAGTAGTTAATGGCAAGGTTTTACATAAACGTCTCATGAGATCAGTTAGTGCTCGGAGTATCTGTCGAGGATCACTCTCAGCTACCAGGTTTTAGCTCAGTATCTGTAAAACTGACAGTTAAAGTCATTATTTTGTTTTCGCAGCGGTTGATAAGCTGCAGCATCCATCTTAAAATAGGTTGAGATCAAAGTTGAATCGGTTGCAGATGTACATCCCACGATTACTTTCTGGGAGTTTCGATAAAATCTGTCCTCTAATCCATTTTACTAACACACAGTACACACACAGTGATCCAGGCAAAAACATTATAGCCTTTTGCCTTCAGGGAAGGGCAATAATCACACATACCAGCTGCTGTTGGTGCACAACACATTACTCAACAATATGCTTCATGGTTACATCACTCCTGATGTCTGGCATCCCTGCTAAACCTTTCCAACCCATCGCTGAAGAGCTGCAGACTTTTGTGGATACAATCAACGAGTTCTTTCTGTTGGATCTGTCTCCTCATACGTGCTCTCGTTTCTGTTTGCAGACAAAAAACATTTTCACCCTAGAAATCTTGATCTCTGTTGTCAAGGAAACCAACCAAGTGAGAATGATCCCCATCGAGGTGTCAATCCCTGCAGCACATCGATTATGGAAGGCTTCATCTCAGAGGTCACACTGGGCTGGTAATCAGTGTCGAGCTGAATGAAGAGGTTGATGTGTTTGTAAAGCAACATCAGTGCTAAAGGTAAGCTGCTACTGCCGAGCTTGCCCCTCCATTGAGTGGATAAGAGGTTGGAATATGTGCCTTTTGGGTTGTTCTTGGTAGATTTTGTCAAGTCAACTTTATTGTCAAAACTGCAATATGTACAGGACATACACAGGATTGAAATGACATTACTCTCAGACCCCTGGTGCAACAATAACCATTTAACATTAAAACATTTAATAAACATAAGCATAAAATGAAATAATAAAAGTATGATACTGTCTTAAATTGTAGTATGGCGGTATAAAAAATATTTAAACAAGTATATCTATAAAATAAAATGAAATGAAGTGAAGGTCCTGACATTGACATTTGTAGTAAGTGGCAAAGCAGCCACTTTGGTGACTGTTATTTGAGTCTTTTCCTTATTATTTGTGTCTTGTTGTTTTCTGTGTTTCAGTCTTTCCCAGGCTGTGTCCCCTGTGCCACCAGTTTACTCTTCCCCAGTCAGTTTCTGCTCCTCAGCTCCTGCCCCGCTCGCTCTCACCTGTTTCCAGTTGTCATTTTTCTCAGGCGTCTCCACTCCTCTTATCAGTCCCCGTTCATAAAGGCCAGCGTTCATTTCACCTTTAGTCTGGCATTGTGTTGAGCTTTTTGTCATGCCCTATTCTCCTTTGAGTCTCCTTGGCATTTTCTCCAAGTTTCTGTACATTTTTATTGCCACACCAGCCGTATTTGTTTTCCTCGTTAAATGTTTAAGTTTCTCTCCGAAGTCCTTGTGTTTGTTTGCTTTGCTGGGTCCATTCTCCACCAGCTAGCTCATAAGACATGAAAGAAAACTATTTGTATAAAAGTAAAGTAGGTGAGCTTCAGTTATAGTCAATATTTCTAATCTATCATTCTTCTCTTTTGTTTTTGCCAACTGAAATATTCTTATCAGATATAATGAAAAATTAAGATTCCTTCAAAGATGCTTTGTTGCATCCAAGATCAAAGCCAACCTGGACCCTGCATGTAATCATTGTAAACAAACTCCAGTTACAGTCTTGCATACATTCTGGACCTGTCCCAAACTGGACATTTTGGCAATCTGTTTTTGACGCCTTCTCTGAGATATGTGGAAAAACTGTACACCCATCACCGTTCATCTCACTGATCAGGGTGATCCCTGTGGATACGTCGTTCAGCAAGTACGAGAAGGATGTGATTCATTTTGGATTTCTTCTGACCAGGAGACTTGTTTTGTGCAATTGGAAGGACCCACACCCCCCAGCACATGTTCATTGGATAAGAGAAGCTATCATATCAATCTGGAAAAAATAAGATATATCCTGAAGGGTTCTGCTAAAATATTTTGGGACATGTGGCAATCTTTTATGTTATATGTGGAAAACTTGTCAATGCCTGTGTAATTCATTTTAATTCATTTATATGTGTGACTGATCTGGTGTGGGAGGAGTTGTTATATGTTCTTTGTGTTCTGTATGTTCAAAATAGAAAAAAATTAAAAGACTTTGGTTAAAAAATATGCTTTATTGCTTCTGTGCACAATTAACTAAGTGGTGTTTACATAGCACCTTAATTATTGATTACAGTAGCTCACTTATAATTCCTTTAAGTTCAGGAACCTGATGCAAAGTTCTAATTTGTATTTAAATTGTTTACAGAAAATAAGCAGATGGGTGCGTGCTTAAAATTTAAAAGGAATTGTGCAATTACGACTCCTGTTATTTAATTTAACCAATTGTGAAACTCTCAGTAAAATTAGTTTATATTTAATTAAGTAAAAGGCAATGGGTTTTATGTTCAATGCAGCTGTAATGATGTCTAATAACATAAACTTTACAAACCCTATTAGGACTTTCCCAGTCCTGAGTGCTGCAGTGTGCAGCCAGACTTCAGCTCTTTTCTCTAGGAGCAGTGGCTACACACATGCCTCTTGAATCAGGTTGTGGAAATTATATAAAACTCATTACATAAACTGGACACCATTGACAATCAATTTCAATAACTTTGTGGGGGCTGTGCAAATTATGAGGGCTTCTTTTGAGGAAAAACAAAAAAGATGATTACTGGAAAATGGATTTGAAGAATTTGAGAAAAGAAACTTACTTAGATGGTTAGTTTAGTGTATTTCTTAGTTCATATCTTAGATCTTACTACTGTTTTTCTTTACAATTTATACTTTTGTTGGATGGAACTGGGACCCTGTGTACACAATTTCATTCCACCACATGTACCACATATAATGTGAATAACAATAAAGAAACCTTGACCTTGACCTTGAGATGGATAAGTTGTTGGATGCCAATTTTGAGGCCGCTCAGTGTCTGGCCTAAACTCCAAATCTCTGTTGTCATCTTTAAAACTATAGCTCAGATGTTTTGGAGCAAAGATTATTTAACATGTTGTAGATTATTTGAATATCTAGGTATTCGTATCTCACTGAGCTGTGACTGGAGACTAGTTGGCAACCTGAAATTATGGGACAGCTGTGAGAAAATATGTACATTTAAGGTTAGTCTTACTGAATGCTGAGTGTTTGATACCAAGCGACTAGCGAGTGGTGTTAATGTTTTGTTGTAGTCAGTTTTGGAAAATCCCGACTTATTTTGCACAACTTGAAAAACTGTATTCTAGGCCATACACATTATTTCATTGCTCGTTTACTTTGTACTGACTTTGGCTGTCCCCCCAATTATAATCTACTGTTGTACACTTTCAAAATCAATATAGGCAGATTTGGACCAGTTGAATATGTCCTATCATCATGGTTTTAGATTTGGGCATGTTTTCTGTCAGAGGAGAACTCCTGTCCAGGTATCAGTTACAGTTCTTGTGCTCGTAAAACAGGTTGGAGACCCTGATGACAAAACTGTGCAAGATTCAAGATGGCTTCGAGGTGACTCTGTGACCATTTTACAAAAATAAAATAAAGTTTGTCTCACACAATTTTTAACACGTTCAAATTTCAAGTGACAAGACTGGAAGCTTTTATGACTCAAAAAATGAAGCTGAGAACCCCACAAATGTGACAAGACATTCTGAAGACTCCCTCACGGATGTTGTTTGCTAATTAGTCTCAGCCCAGACGGTTGTATTTCCTGTGCAGCCAAGTCCACGTCCAGAAGGAATATCATGAAGCTTATTTTATTCTTTTTGGCCAAATACTGAAAGAAAAAGAAAAAAATCAGCTAGTTAAAATAATTTAATTTAATAAACCTCTTAAAGCATCAGCTCATATATAAACGGTTCACATACCAATTCATAAAGGAGGTTCTGCTACAACATTTATTATCCCACCATAATTCATCATATCCTCTGTGCTGATACCTTTATGTGGTAGGGGAGCTTGTGTGTCTCAAGGACCCTTGAGAGCTATGCCAGCAAGGGCTCAAGCTCCTGGAAAGGGGAACCAACGTAAGCAGATCTCGGGGTAGAGGCCAGAAAAAAAATCACCTGGTCCTCCAGGTTGGGGACTGGACGTAGGGCTAACAACCCTACCCTGTAAAAACAATACTTTGTTATGGAAACAATAACATATATTGTCTTGATTTGGATTTGGATGGAGGAATGCCACCACTCAGGGGAGTGGTAGCGCAGAGGTTAGAGAAGG